TGGAGAACTACCCCCCCGGGTTATGTCAAAAGTGACTTCCTCCTAACCAAGTCATCAGGGACCTTACGAAACTACGATGGCGCCGGTAACGGGAACGCTTAAAACTCAGTATCTTTATGAAGCAAAACAACAACTCGTGGACTCGTGCACGTGGATCAAAGTTTTTTGTAAAATAATTTCTATTCCGTCCCAGCACAACTAGGGCGTGACAAGCAAAAAATGGCGGTGAAATAAATTAGATTCTCATCAGTCATTTACATTACCTCATGGAAGAGAACAGGTGTTGAAGGAGCAGCTGGGTGGTGCCCATGGGAAGATCTCTGAGGTTTTAAGTTCTGGAGACTCCTTAGAAGTCTCTGCCTTTTCGACTTCTCCTCTTCTGGTAGTACTTGTTTATGTGTAACACTGGCCTTCTTTAACTCCTGAGTCCTTGGTGAGCTCAGATCCTTCCTGACAATGTCATTGATAGTTCTCAAATCATTTCTCTGACTCGGACTAACCTTGCTATCAACAGTTGACTTATTTTCGCTCTTTGTGAAAGGTGAAGGAGTCTGTTCCTCGACATGAACAAGATCATTCTTTGGCGCTTTCTTGTCTAGAATTGTATTGTCTACATGCAGTTTGTCATTTTTAAGATCTGACTTATCTACCCACGCCTGCTTTGTGCCATGAACTACTTCACCTTTCGACACTTCACGAGTCTTTGGCAAATTTTCTGACTTCTGTGATGTTCCAAGCTCCGGCACCTTCTTTTCATTTTCAACAGCCACATGTACAGTCCTTTTGTCAGAAATTGGCTGCACATTTTTAATATGACATCTTTCAAATATCTCCTTGTTGGCTGGTTTCCTTTGGTCAACCACATTTTGATGCTGAACTGCGGAATTTTTAGTGTGGTTCTCTTTCTGCCTTGCACAGGACAAAGAAGCCTCTTTCGCCTTTCGCCTCTGATCCTGCCAATGTTGAAGGTCTTCTTCCTCATCAGAGCTGCTTGACAAACTGAAAATTAAATAAAAGTCAAGGTTATGTTATAAGTTGAAACTACCTTAATAGTGCAGCTTATTTCAAAGACATAGCTCTAACTAAACCCAAACAATGCTTAATAGCAAACAAGACTTAACAAAAATGGATACAACCAATGACCACTCTTTTTGATTAAACAACCTGCTGAACAAATAAAAAATGACATCCCTAGGGCAGCAAATGGAGTTGCTTGAGAAAACACAATCTTGAAATTTCCAGGGAACAAATTGGATCCTTCTACTCTGAAAAATTAAAACTGGAAAAATAATTTATGTTACTTACTCGGTGGAATTATTGCTGATACCTAGTATCCTGCATATTGAAGATGGTAATGTCTGGTGACTCTTCATGAAAAAAGATTAATAAACAGTTATTCATTTATGAGAGAAAATATATGGTCAGATCACAGATGGCCTGTTTTTAGGTGAAACCTAATGTTCACACACATTTTTACCACGACTGTAAATCATGTACAGAAAGATCCAACTTCAGCTAAATCATATACAGAAAGATCCAACTTCAGCTAGATCTTATTCTTAGCTGTAGCTTGCGTACTGAAGAAGACTGTGCTAGGCAGCTGAAAGCTTCAATCCTTGGTATATTATTTTCATCTAGACTTGTAAAATTCATGAATTATTCATTAATAAAAGTTACAACCAATCAATAGGTACACTGTATTATGACTCCTCTATATTGGGCTATTCTGTCATAATATACAATAACAAAATTACAATGGGGCAAAAAAAAAAATTTACATCTGTTACAACAAGAAATATCTACATGAGTTTATATACAGTCATAAAAATTTGATTCAATCTAAGAAGAGTTTGCAAGAAAGTGGGTGAAGGCTTTCCTTGTAAAACTTGAAAGTCTTTTAAAACTTTTAAGTCATGATCACCACCTGTGAAGAAGTATCCTCCTCAAGGCTTCTTAAGTCCAGGAACACAGTGTCATTAGATCTGCTTTGAGTGGAAGGATCTAACGATGCTGTGACTCCTACAGAGGCCACAGATGGACTACTCATCACACTGACATCATGTGTCTTGTGGACAGCACTTTCCAAACTGCGTGGTGATAGGTGACCAGTGGGACTATTGGGTTCAGGAGCAGCGTCATTCTGTTGCTTTCTACTGAGTCTTATAAGCTCTTCCATTAAGCTGTTGCCACTGCCTTCGGAATCACTGTCGTCACTGTCACTGAGAGTGGGTGGAAATACTGGTGAGACAGTAACCTCATTAGTACGCTGGAGAAAATCACCAAGGTTCAAGTGCTTTATCAGATCAAATCTAAGCTCCACTTTATCAGGGTTATTGACATCTTGAGTAAGTGTCTCAGGAGATATGCCTTTGGATTTAGAGGTTTCAGAAAACAGGTCAGTATCAGCTGGAACTGTCATTTTTTCTAGAGTTGATGGCAGCGTAGCAGGTGAAGAGTCAATCAATTCAATGCTATCCTAAAGTAGACAGTTAATGAATAAACTGTTAGAAAACTTAAATAAATGGCGAACAATAGAGAGTTTAAGAATCATGTATACGGCATACGGCAAACAGCAAACGTCAGATTCAAGTTGAGAATTTCTCAAAATAGAAAATGAGCTGATAAAAACAGCTCAAAACAATAATTGTTGTTGAAATAATGAACATTAAATGACAAGAAGGGCGTTATTATGCCCAACTCTTTCCTTGAGAACAATGACAACTTTACGCACTCATGAGCAGTGATTATGAGCAGCAGACAGGCAGATTCAGATCTACAAGCCAGTGGGATACCAGACCAACTTATCCAATACCTATTATCAAAGGGAGGTCTGACCTCAAATTAAAATAATTTTTCTTGCCCCTCCAGGATTCAGTTTGGCCTAAAAATATTGATGGCTTGGGCAACTTGGGAACCTCCCATGACAGCCTTATAACCATGTATAATGTTTTTTTGCAGAGAATGTACTGAACTCAAAGGCCCATGCACATACTTTTTTTGTGCCAGTAACCCCAAACTTACAAGGAGGGCATGGAGTATCATCATTGAATGTTATATATCACAGTTAAATTCATACCTGGGTTGATACTCAATTTTGCTCGTCTCGCCTCATGAATTAGGGCTGGGAGACAAAGGAAATTGAGAGTCAACCTAGGTTAAAAAATTTTATGTGAAAACATTTAATTTTGACCTGTAACATACACAGGGTAAGATTGTAGGGAGGAGAGCATCCAAAGAAGCAGATTTTTAAGGGACATTACATATTTGCAACCACCATGACCTAACTGGTTTGTAAAAACAGGTCATTATTACCAATATGTTGCACACCTTTCAAAAGATTTTACCACACAGTTTGGTGAGAAACTAAAAAAATTTTAACCTCCCCTTTATCCTATGGTCATAAAACCTTATCACCTCCAACTCTTAATTACATCCCCCAATTTTCAAAAAAGAAAATAAAGGAAAAGAAACCTGTTCACTATCTGAGAGTGATGAGCTGCTCCGTCCATCAGGGCTGACAAGGGACAAACCACTGTCTGAAGCATTGGCAAAAGGAGAAGAGACTTGCTCACTGTTTTTAAGGCTAGTTTGTGCCAAAATATCTGGGGACAGTGGCCATGCTTTTCTTGTATACAAGACTGGTTCTTCACTCTCATTGCTCTCCTGCAAAGCAATTTTATTGTGAAGTTAAATTGGATCCTAAAAACTTTTTAAAGATCTAGACACACCTTCTTAAAACAGACACCTAGAGTTGATCCCTACCTTTCTTTAGTCATTTGATTTTCTAAGAGGCAATTACCTCTCATAAGTTTGACACCTCTCGAAAATGGACATCTAGTATTGATTCTTGCCATTCTTAAACTTTTCTCAGGGTAAGAGAAAACTTTACGAATCATCTTCCCTTTGGACAAGCTATTAGTGAAGTTTACTGGCCTGGAGAAGTCCTGCAGGCCTGTGAACCCCTTGTTCCCTTACATTTACTTTATTTTGCTTGCCTATAGGACAAGTTGTAATTACTTGTATTGGAACATGCTAGCTCCCAGTGGGTTGCTCCTCCAGCCCCAAGCTATTTAGTCTCCTTCATGTCACTTTAGGGTCATCACTTAACGCTCCTCCCTCCTCTTTTGGGAAGGACTATTGTGTGATGACCCTGAAATCAAGTGCTACTTCTATTTGAAATGACTCTCAATTTGACTCTCAATGCTGTGCACCTCTTTAAGCCTGATACCCAGTGGTCAGGGTTGTCATTAGTAACGCGCAACCACCTTTTTTTGCCGGCTACTGTAGTAAAATCAGCTGGCTACTCTCAGTTTGAAAACGAGTCAAACATAATTTCCATGCAGTTGAATACATTATTTTGCCTGCAGCAATTTCATATTATTTCACTCAAATATGTAGTCAATACAATGGAGTCGAAACATGCATCCATAATAAATGTATGGCGCTGTACGGAAATCTTACCAAGTAGGTTCTTTTGACGTGATTAAACCTTAGTTGTCTGATATCGACTGTTACTTAAACCTTGAGAGTAAGTGTACATGTTGCCTAAGCAACAAAGATTGTCACAAGCTATCAGGCGGTTCAATTTTTAACGTAATTTCAAGGAAAGCAACTTTAGTACAATTTTGCATCTTGTTATTTCCTTACCTCTGAAGAATCTTCTAAGTCCAAGGTAGGAATACTAGCTTGAATATCAGCGAAAATGTCATCAAACACAGGCTTCAATTTACACGCACCGGCGGCAGTTTCAAAACCTCCAGGAACCCCAACTTCCTCCTCCAAACTTTCATCGCTGCTGGAGACAACCTCCTCTCTCTTCCACATAACTTGTTCAGAATTAAGGAACTTTAAAGAAACTACCTCTGGCTGGCTTGCATTTGCGCAAAACAACAATAAACTAAAGAAAACGAAATGAAAGTGTTTATAGCTTGGACAAAGTCTGACGCCATCTTGTCAAACGCAAACTCTCGCCAGGCCTCTTCCATCACCCGGTATTCAAGATGGCGATTTTCAGTGTGTACATCTTGAATCGAGCCGGGGGACTTATTTATCATTACGACCACGTTACGCCAAAAAGCGAAGTGGAACAAGCATTTAGCTATCCTTTAGACATTGTGCTACGTGAAGATGATAAAATAACAGTGATTTTTGGTGAAAGAGATAATATAAAAGGTAAGTTTAAATTCAATGATCATGAGACATCTTATTTCCACTCAGTTTATAAAGCTTGTACAATGTAATTATATTAAAAGCAATAAATTTCCTTTAAATTAGTTGGACATGCCTTGTTGGCGATTAATGGCGAGACCGTCACAGGAAGGCGTCTGTCTGATGGGAGAGAAGCTATGGAAGTTATCAGAGATCCGGCGAACTACCCTCTTAACTTGAAGTTCGGTCGGCCAAAGCTCACAACCAACGAGCGCATTATGTTAGCAAGCATGTTTCATCCGTAAGTCAATCATGCTTAATACTAAATTTAATGTTATGGTCCACCGACAAAGAAATAACACAACACACAAGGCTTCAAAGATGATGTGAACTGTGGAAATACAAATGTAAATGGAGATATGATCGTTGCAGTGGTAAGTGGAAATATGGGGAATTGCAAATTAACCTGAGAAGAATTTTGGGACTTCAGTGGGATTTAAACCCATGGCCTCTGCGTTAACGCTGCAGTGCTCTACCAGCTGAGCTATGAAGACCCATACATTGGGAGCAGGCCAATTTGTTGAGTTCATCTTAACCCGTGAGAGGAATGAAAAATTGAATGAAGATGAACTGAACTGCTTTGGTGGGAGAAATTGGGCAGGGAAAATGCCCGAATAAAACCCACCAACTGGATAACCCATCGGATGAGGGGTTTTGGCACATGGCTCCTAGGGGGTGCCTCATGCCTACACTTAAAGGGGAGCACGATTCACACATCCATGTGGCTGGAATTACTTGTATGTCCTTGGTCAAGTAAACCAAGTCCAGCAGTATTCCCATCTCTCCCCACCCCCTGACAGGGCTTTAGCACAAGTCTGAAGGGGTGCTGCAAACAGCGATTCCCCACCCAACCCCCCAAAAAATGCCAAGTAGAACAAGAAGTTCCTTGTGCTAAGCCCAGTCCCGAAAGACCCTCTCTCCAGTTAGATGCAAAGGGGGGGTGCTTACTCCAGGTGGCTTGTTTTTGGTAAGATCAATGGTAAGTGACCCAGAGGTAACCCCTGCTGACCCCGTTGAGGAATGGAATAGAGTGAGGCATTGGTGGAGAAAGGGCAAGCCAGGTAGTGAGTACCTCAGGGATTAGAGCAAGCTAACTGGGTGCATTTTATGTCAATTACACCCTGATTAAGCCTTGCATAATCTTATCACTATTATATGTAACTTGATTTGTTTGCAGGCTGTATGCAATCTCTGCTAAACTGTCTCCAGAACAAAGATCTTCTGGAATTGAAGTATTAGAAGCAGATTCCTTTAAACTTCATTGCTACCAAACACATACTGGTAGGTTTTAAATATATTTAAAGATGTTCCTGTATAGTTTGTGAACGGATCAAGAAGATATCAGGGTCAGATAAAATAAGGGAAAGGTCAATATAAATAGCTAATGGCCAAAATTCCTCTCTGTCATTTCCTGACAAAAAGAACTTATATACCATACTACTAAGAATGTAATAATTCTTAAAGAGTATCAGTTGTTATTATTTTAAAAGCATGAGTGTATGCAAGAAAGCTTAGGAATTTTGATGAAGAAGTTATTCACTAGCCTGATAGATTTGTTACAGTTGAATTTTAATTTCAGGTGGTCTTTGTATAGGTAATAGCATGATTTGTAGTGATATTTGGCATAAATACCACGAGTGATATTTCGAAATTGTTGTACGTAATTTCACGAGCCGTTAGGCGAGTGAAATTTGAGTCAATTTTGAAATATCACTAGTGGTATTNAATATAAATAGCTAATGGCCAAAATTCCTCTCTGTCATTTCCTGACAAAAAGAACTTATATACCATACTACTAAGAATGTAATAATTCTTAAAGAGTATCAGTTGTTATTATTTTAAAAGCATGAGTGTATGCAAGAAAGCTTAGGAATTTTGATGAAGAAGTTATTCACTAGCCTGATAGATTTGTTACAGTTGAATTTTAATTTCAGGTGGTCTTTGTATAGGTAATAGCATGATTTGTAGTGATATTTGGCATAAATACCACGAGTGATATTTCGAAATTGTTGTACGTAATTTCACGAGCCGTTAGGCGAGTGAAATTTGAGTCAATTTTGAAATATCACTAGTGGTATTTATGCCAAATATCACGTACAAATCATGCTATTATTTGTTTATGCTACTACCCGCAAAGGTTTTGTAATTTTCACATGTAGGTATTTCAAATTAAGCTGAAATACCACTGCTCTTAGCCAATCAAATTGAAGAAATTTCTCACGTAGTAGTATAAAAAGGATAAGCACAAAAATGTTCTAACTAGATGAAATTGTTCCAGCTCATGTATGAGTTAAATAAAATCCCCTCTGATGTAAACAGTTCATCTTCTTGGTAAAATTTTTAATATATTAATAAATTCCATATCAGCCATATCTGCATATGAGTTTAAATTTACTCTCTTTGTGCTTCTTGAATTTCAACAGGATTAAAGTTCATTGTGCTAACAGACCCAAAACAACTTGGAATGGATATATTCTTAAAAAAGATTTATGAGCTTTATTCAGATTTTGCCCTGAAGAATCCATTTTACTCACTGGACATGCCCATAAGGTAACAACAAAACAGTATGTATGATTTTACAAAACTTTATTTAACCAGAAATTGCTTGAGCGTAGATGAGGAATAACTTTCAGAGAGAATTATTTTGCCTTAAAACCCAGTTAGTGATGTCAGAATACTACTTACATATAACTATTATAAACTAAGAGTACATTTAACCCTTCAAGCCCTAAGAGTGATCAGCATCAAATTTCTCCTCGCAATATCAATGCTTTGTAAAACAGAGTGGTCATGGGAATTAGAGACATGATCACACAAGATGAATTTGCTTGATATTTTATCAACTTCTCCCCTCCACTACTTCTGTAGGAAATGAGAAGGAGCGACAAATAAGATATCAATTTTTGATCTTAGGGATTAAAGGGTCAATGTATTAAGCATTGTTATTTATTGAGGACACTGCTTGTACATCTCCTACCGGAGATATTTGTTTACATGGTCATCCAAGCCACTTGAAGGTCTAGCCATTTGCAGGGCAAATGGATGGACCTTGATTTATAAAAAGGGTCTATGCTAAATAGCAAAGTTATTGTTTTAAGCTTGAGAACAGATGCTTAACTTGTATTTTTGGTTTGCAACCACGTGGCAAGGCAGCCATGTTGGTAGACAAAGCAATACAAATTTTTGTTTGCAGAATTTGTATGAAAAAGGGGTTTAATTCCCAGCGGAGGGAAACACTGTTATTCTTGTCAATTGACATGGCCGCTGTGACGTCAACAGTGAACCAGCAATAGTGCTGATTTAACTAGGCTTCTCTCTCTTTAGGTGTGAACTGTTTGACACAAACTTACAGAGAGCGTTGGATCAGGCTGAGAGGTCAAGCAATCCCTCTTTAGCTTAAAGAAGGCAGCTACATTATGTGTGGAGGAACATGAACTTGAAACCCCAAGAAATAATAATAAAAGCGACAATGATAATAGCAAAGGTCACAATGGAGAAAAAGCTTTTGTCAATCAATTCAAGATTTAATATGGAGTTTGGCATAACAAGCAGAGACACACTGCATACAAAAGATACCACATACAAGTAATAATGCCAGGTTTTGGTTGAAGATCAGTCACATTTTTAGCATGCTTTCCAACAAAAGATGCAAGAAGGCGGTATTGTTAAGCTACGTAAATACAAAAGAAGAAAAGTTTACCTTACAACTATGTATTGTTATCAAAAGTATCCAATCTTAAAATTGATCTTTTTCGCCTACTCAATGATGGTTTGCTTAGCTAGAACACAAAATGCTATCTGAATTTACTCCTAGAGTTTTTTGACAATTATAATTTTAATATTATTTTAAGTACATTCGTTTAGATAGAAAAGCAAAGTGGTAACTATGGTCAAATTCTTTTGTATGCATGTAATAATAATTAGGAAATATTAATGTATATGTAAAAGAACACTTCATGTACATAATAACTTGTAATAAAGTCACATTACAATGGAGGAACATTGTTAAACTTCTTTGTGGATTGTTCATCAGAAAAATTACTTTTCATTTTACTGTGACCAATGATTTAAGTGTAAGGTACAAAACAGAATGCTTATTGCGCTTGAAACTTGTTTAATTTTTACTTTTGTGTCAGTGGGTAAAATCCTAAAATGAAACAAATCAAAAAAAGCTTCTAAGCTGTATGCCAAAGGAATACTGTTGCCAGTGCCACAGAGGGAAATAAACTTCTGGTTAAGTCTGTCTGCAAAACAGCACTGAAATCTGTGTACAAGGAGTTGAGTATGTGCCACAATTGACCTGGTAAAAAGCCATTGTCATTTTGCCAATCAGGTTGCAGGGAAATTCAAAACACATTTTCATAAATTGCTGAGCCATTGAAAGCCCAGAACAAGGATATTGGCACTTCTTCACAGACATAACTAACAAGGGTTGTATTACCTCTGTGACACAATAAAATCCTGAAGTCTCATCCCAAAGTGAAAACTTCGGAATAGTGATTTTTCATGGTGCTGACTGTGCTGTAGTTTACAGAGTTGACTGTGCTATAGTTTAAGAATTCCTAAAATGGTCAACTCTGTTCCTTAGTAGTCTCAGGGGCAGCCTTGGAAGCAGTGTTGACCGGGGCAGGCTTCTTTAAGTTTAACAGTTGAACAGGAACATTAAGGGGGTTTAAAGAGAACAACTGGGATTTGGGACGGCTGGAACTACTGCCTGCATCAGAACTGCCTTGTCCAGTGGTTCCTGCAGCTGTTGCCATGATTTCTTTGGACTTATTAACTACAAATTGAACTTGACTGCTTATATCATGACCCGCAAGCCGTCTTTCTAGGTCATTTAATAAATCCAGAATGACTGATGCATCTGAAGCAAGAAATAAGAGAAACAGATGAGGATTATGTGAAAGAAAAATGCTCTTTATTTGAGTGTCAAAGTATTAAGCACAAAGTTACTAATTGGGGACACTGTTTTTACATCTCCAACTGGAGATGGGAATGGGACCACTATTTTACCTGGTCATCTGAGCCACCCAAAGGTCCAGCCTCTTGCAGTGCAAAGGGAGTCCCTTCATTTCTCAATTATGTTAAGACCCTGAGTATTGGTCTGGCCCCCGGGAATCAAACCTGCAACCTTCTACTCTGCAGTCTAGCACTCTACCAACTGAGCTAACACTGTCACAGTAAATTCATAACACTTAATTATAAATTATGGTAAAGACATAAATTATGATATCAGACACAAGGAGTGTTACCCATCCAGGCAACTACACTAGGCCCATAGGTAGGATTTTAGTTAGGCAGGTACTTAGGAGCCTTAAAAGTACAAACCAGTTAGAGGGGGTAGGGGGTGGGCTCCAGGAATATCTCAAGTTGCACATGGCATTAAGGTGGCCATATTGGTGTAGCAAATCAATAAAATGGGGGTCAATTTGGTGTACTATGGCTTGGGTCTTATTTCTCATGTAAAACTTCTTTTTGTTCCAAGAAATTTGCATGACAGCTTACTACATGTGTGAAAATGATCTATAGTCCACTGTCAGATAAAAGATATCACTGGTAAAACATGGAACTCTTAGAGCACCTTTCAAAGACTTTGGCTGCGAACCTTGGGCTTACACTACTGAGGAAGTTAATAGATTGCAATCTTTAGGAAAGTAAAACATTGCTACCACTTGATCTTGGCCAGGTAGAGAATAGCTAAGTAAGTGACGAGTTCGGAACCAACAGGGGGACCACAGAAGGAAGAAAAAGGGGGAAAAGAAAAAGGGGGAAGTGATGAATGTGCACCTGTTGCATCCCTCTCCCTACAAGCTGGCAAACACTGAGAGACATTAAGTTATTATAATGCATGATACCACTTACCAAGTGGGGTAAGGTCAGGTGGTGGCTGTTCTCTCATGACTCTACTAAGCAGTGTGTATATCTGACTGTAGTCCGGTGCTGGGTTGCCTGTTGATCAACCACTTGATTATTTTGAATAAGGAAGTGGTTATTACTTTAAGTGTGAAGATATTTTTTATCAGCAATGGTGATGTTGTCAACCACCGCGGTACACATTGTCCTTCTCAGTAAATCAACACTATCGCGTGACGAAGGCCTGCAGTACGCGGCTGAAACACTGCGATCAATATATCTAATAACGTCTTATTTCGGTCCAAAAGTCACTGCTCATTATACACACAGGAATGCTGATTTGAATTATTTAATACCATGCAGCAGCAACAATTCAACTTACAGATTCGATTTTCAAAATAACCAATTCACTAAGGAGTATGCTTGACCTGGCTTGACTGTATTATTATTATATTATAATCACTGGTACATCTGACATCAAAACTAAGAAATATTTGTATAATTTGGTTTTCTTACCGGGTTCTGATTGAACTGGTTCCATGGCAGCAATTGTCATAATCTATACAGTGAGCAGGAAGTAGTAACAATTTTTAACAAAGCCTGCAAACAGTACAATTCACTTCCCCCCCACTGAGCATTTTCACAAATACACCTCAGCTCAAGTTGGTGTGACTACATGTGTGCAGGGACACAATATTCATTTATGGGAAATTACTTGGCGTAAACAACATTATTAAAGAGTTTTCAGGGTATTATTTCTGGTGCCTGTTTTACTGATAAGGGTTGAAAATACAGCTGATCATGGTCTGGTATAGGTAAACAAGGGTTTCAGGATTCCAGTGGCACCCACCCACCCTAAAATTCATGATCTAAGTACCCCCTGGGGAAGTAGCAAGCAGTCCTGAGCAGATAACATTCAGAAAGAGTAGGCTAGCAGAAGACTTGTCATCTATATAGACTGTGAAAGATGTGATAATCAGCATGTTGCAAGCATGGAAATAATTTGCTTTTTGGTTTAATAACACTGACAGCATCTGTGTCCAAAAATTAAGCTTGATCCAGACAGATAGATTTTAATAAGACTTCTTAAAACAGGTCCAATAGACCTTTCTCAAGGGACGGCCATTTTGTCTCAAGAGATTTAAAAAGCTTTGTTTATGCACGGCTAGCCTCAAAGAGAGAACTAGGCTAGCCGTGCATGAACAAAGCACTTTCAATCTCCTGAGACAAAATAGCTGCCGAGTGACAATGTCTATGGCGCCATAGCATCTGCCATTGGTGAGAACTAGATGAAAGGGAATAAAAGGAAAATTGTATTATTGTCCATTATAAAAAAGATAAAGATTAAGGGGTGGCAAATGGTACCTTGAAAAACTTGGGTCTCGGAAAATTTTGGCAGGATCACGAAATCTCGGAAACGTTTTTGATAAGCCTCAAAGTCTCGTTTTTGCATGGTTTGTTTTTAATTTTTTTGAGTCTCAAAACTTTTTACCAAAGAGTCACGGGCTCAGATTTCTAACTAGCATCTCAGCGTCTCAGCGAGTCTCAGATTTTACCATTCGCCACCCCTAGATGAGTTGAAGTTAGACCACAGGCCACCCAACCTTTCAAAGCTGAAACATCCCTGTTTGAAGTGTGATGTTAGAGGAATCACTGGTTTGGGTAACTTTGGGTTTCAATGTGTTTATTTTACTATGGGAAGACAAAGGTCCTTGTGTTAATTCCAAAAGCATGTTCCTGGGATATTTTTAAAATCATTTTTATTTTGCTTTGTTCCAGTTTTGAACTGAAAGTAACAATGTTACTGGAATAATAAAATTGCTGAATAAATAAAATGCTATGAACTTACAACATTCAAGTAAATCTAAATTAATAATTACTTTAAAGGGGAACAATATTCTACACACAAACCACTGAGAAGACAGCTGNGACAAAGGTCCTTGTGTTAATTCCAAAAGCATGTTCCTGGGATATTTTTAAAATCATTTTTATTTTGCTTTGTTCCAGTTTTGAACTGAAAGTAACAATGTTACTGGAATAATAAAATTGCTGAATAAATAAAATGCTATGAACTTACAACATTCAAGTAAATCTAAATTAATAATTACTTTAAAGGGGAACAATATTCTACACACAAACCACTGAGAAGACAGCTGCTACGGAGCAAACAAAACCATAACATCAGCAACAGTGACAACATCGCTTAATAATATAAAGTGAATTGATAGGAAGGCAAAAATAATAAGTTTTTAAGAGTGTAATGCATATTGGTCATTAAACTTACAGTTCTTTTCCAGTGTTGTCATTACCCTTATTGTTCTGTGAGCTCCCTAACAAATGCAAGAGGTGGCCTTTTCAAGGTCCCGCGTACACATACCCATAGGCAGAAACAGTGTTTAACACATACCTGCCTCCATGAGTGGGCAGGACCAAGCACATCCTTTTTCTGATTATTGGATTCTTCATATTGTTCCCCCATAAAGTTATTTTGTCATAATTTATAATAAATCCTTTATTGGCCAAGCATGTTCAGCCAAGATGCCTGGGTATTAGCCTAGTTTTTGTTGTTGTTTTGTTTTTTCGTGTTTGTATAGACCTCAACAGGAATCAAATAAACGCGACAAAAAAGAAGTCAGCTTATATCATCCCACCTTGGCCTCATCACATGCTTGGTCAGTCACACATATATCTTAAGCCCGTCTTTGATAAACTGCAGATTCCAAGCTATACTCTCTTCTCAAAAAGTTCCTAGCGTGAAGTATAATCAAATACTAGGGCTATAATAATTTTAAAATTCTTTTTTTCAAACGAGTAGTTATATTTACTGAGCTTAGTATGACTCTAGTACATTGCAGCACTTCAGGTGACTGCTACAGATGTACACACAACACATTTAAACAATTTTCTTTGCAAAATAAATTCTATTCAGGTCATATAGGACTTATTTGAGCATTTCTGTATCAATAATATATTATAAAAGTATAAGAAGAAGATTGACCTTTAGGTCTTCCTTTTACATTACATACACCACTACTGACAAATCTCTGTATTGATACCCCCTCTTACAAGTACAAAGGTTGGGTCACCACTACTGGAATTGAATCTGGATAAATTTAGGTTTCCGAGAAACTTCCCACCTACCCCTCCCCTTAGCCAACATTTTGCCCTGAGTAAGAGGTAAGTGTTAATGTTAGCTTAGGGGAGGGGTAGGTGGGCAGTTTCCCAGAAACCAGAATTGATCCATGAGTCCTTTGCTAGCTACAATGGGCAACAGAATTGTTGAGACACTCCCTCAACATCTCCCACCCATAGTTGGAGAGTTTTTTTTCCCACAGGTAGCTTGAACAGCAGCACAACGTCCATGGAGAGGGTGGGGCAGGAAAGCTTCATTTTACCCCTTCTGAAATTGGCAAAATGTCAGAAAGGCCCTTTGGGGCAATTTTGTTGCTGATTGTAGCTTGTATTATTTTATATTCAGAACATGTTTACTCCCCTGAAAGACTGTCCACAAAATGTTCTACAAAAATCACATTTTCTGCCAAAAGAAGGATGTTCATAGCAAATATTATTTGCCTTGGGCATAACTAAGACATCTTCTACATTACCACATAAAACCAAATAAAAATTATTAAATAAGAAAGATAAATCAAATTGCCAAAAACTAAAAACAGAAATGAAGCTATCTAGTGCCAGATTTATGTCACAATAAAACAAAATTTCTGAGAAACCTGTTACCTGTTACACTATGTACAACATTGTGTTGGAAGAGCTTGTGTTACTGTTTAGCTGCCTCTCTCACCATTACATTTAAATGCCTTTCAAACATTTTCATCTAAATTTTCTGCATATTTACAAACCAATGTTTAATTGTTTAGCAACCCCATATTGTGCGTGACAAATACGATGTTGGACGAAAATGTTTGATTGCTTAATTGGAGCCAAAACTACTCTCTCTAACCTGTCAAGATTTCCTAGGCCAAGTTAAAGCGAGATTGTTTGCCAATGACTTCAAAATCTGTGGATGAAATACTGTGGTGTTACCATTGAAATGGAACCTCTTCAGCAGTACTTTCACATGGTACTCTTTATTTAGTATGTAGCTCTAACTTTTAAGCCTGTGGATGAAATCTTATGGTGTTACCATTCAAATGAAACCTCTTCTGCAGTACTTTCACATGGTGCTATTTACTTAGTATGTAGTTCTAACTTTTGAGTCTGAAGATGAAATCCTATAGTGTTACCATTCAAATGAAACCTCTTATTTAGTATGTAGTTCTAACTTTTGAGTCTGTGGATGAAATCCTATGGTGTTACCATTCAAATCAAACCTCTTTAGCAGTACTTTCACATGGTACTATTTATTTAGTATGCAGCTCTAACTTTTGAGTCTGTGGATGAAACCCTATGGTATTACCATTCAAATCAAACCTCTTCAGCAGTACTTTCACATGGTACTATCTATTTAGTATGTAGTTCTAACTTTTGACTCTGTGGATGAAATCCTATGGTGTTACCATTCAAATCAAACCTCTTCAGCAGTACTTTCACACAGAATCATTTATTTAGTATGTAGTTCTAACTTTTTGATCTGTGGACGAAATCCTATGTTGTTACCATTCAAACGAAACCTCTTAGGCAAAACTTTTGCACAGTGCTGTTTAATTCCTAGGATTTTACAAAACATGAATTTTTTGCAAACTTTTTACTTTGACCACCATAAGGAGTGAACAGTTTAAGGAGGCCCTGTAAAGGTTAATTCCAACATGCAACATGGGCTTGAAACATTGACAATGATACAAAGATAGACTAAAACTGTGACAGTAGTGAAGACAAGCACATAGAGTCAAATACTTAAGTAAAATTAACAACAGGGACATGGATTATTCCTCCTTACTAAATGAAAGCTGTGGCTTTCAATAACACACCAACTCCAAAGTTCAAAAGCCAAGCAACATTTGTGTTCTTCGCTGCCATCAATCATCTTAGTGGACGTCTCAGAAAACAGAAGTCTACTTCAATGGATTGAAAAGATCATGGTTTTTGAAATGTGATTGTTGGATTTCAGTCCATTTCGTGTTTTCTCTGTTTTATAATTCATTGCCTGTGACTGTACATGTAATTATTATGATTGATGGCAGAGGAAAATGCAAATATTGTGAAGCTGGCATTTAAACTTCAGACTTCCTGTAGTATTGAAAAGCACAGTAAAGAGAGTTGACCATACATAGCATTAGTTTGTTGAAAAACCCAGGTCACTCTGGAGAAACTTGGCTGGGATGGACTAACGTCCACTGGTTTTCAGCAGTCTTTGCTCTGTTATATCGCAGAGTTTTACACCTGGTAGCAATACTTGTGACACATTTACGCCACACAACATTTTGTTGTTCTGGATCAAGGGTCTTTAAAAATCTTTCTGTGACCTCCACTGTGGAATTAAAAAATTAAAAAATATATTA